AATCCTTGCAATCTGTTGTTTTTAAGTTTCGCAAATAATAAGTAAATGCATTCTCACTATAAAATTTCAAATAATACAGAAATATTTTAATGTTTTCTTTGCATGTAATAAATAAAAATCATTTTGTTGTTTCTTTTAGAAAAATTTAATATATTCACCTATATTTTAATTAAATACATAAAAGCATAAAAGAAGGTATAAATCACACTAAAACCCACGATCCAGAGGCAACTACTATTAAAATTTTAGTAATTTAGTCAGACAGTTTTCTTTGCTATTACTTTAAGTTATTTGTTATTTAATTTTTACAACATTACAAAGGGGTAGATACTGTTATTATCTTGAATTTATAGATTAGATACTAAGGCTTAGGGGAATTACATACTATGCCCAAGTTTCCACAGTCAAGAAGTGTCTGAGCCCATAGCATTGAGTACAGGTGTCTGATGCTGAAGTTTTAGCCTTGACCCACTCTATAATACTGCTCCTCATATTTGAGGGCTCATTTGACATAGGTTACCTTATAACTTTTTATAATTTGACAATATGTTATAGAGATCTTTTCATGTCAATGAATTATAAAATATTTCATTTTGATAGCTTTATAGTATTTCATTGCATGGTGTCCTAACATTTATTTAATCAATCTCCTACATTTAGATTATTTCTAGTTTTTCCTGTTATAATTAAGACTGTAATGTACATTTCTGTACATTGCTAGTTCTTCTGGATTATTTCCTAAGAATAAATTACAGGGAGTAGTTTTGCCTTTTCCAGAATATCATTTACTTGGAATCATGCATATGTAGTCATTTCAAATTGGTTTCTTTCATTTAACAATATGCATTTAAGATTCCTGCATGTCTTCTTGTGGCTTGGTAGATTATTTGTTCTTATTGCTGAATAATTCATTGTCTGGATGTACCACAGCTTACCCACTCACCCACTGAAGGGCATTTAGGTTGCTTCTAAGTTTTGGCAATTGTGCATAAAAAACTTCCATAAGTATTCATAAATATTCCATAAATAGGTTTTTTGTGGAGATATTTGAGTTTCAATTCATTTGAATAAATATCAAGGAATATGGGTGCTGAATCTTATGGTAAGAGTATGTTTAATTTTATAAGACATACCTTATCATTTTGACTATAGAATTTATGGTTAAATTTTTTTCTTTTCTTTAAAAATAAATATATTTAAATATATTTTCTTGATTTCAGAGAAGAAGAGAGATATAGAAACATCAGTGATGAGATAGAATCATTAATTGGCTGCTTCCTGCACGCCCCCTACTGGGGATCAAGCCCGCAACCCAGGCATGTGCCCTGACCAGGAATTGAAATGTGTTCTCCTGGTTCATATGTTGGCGCTCAACTACTGAGCCACACCTATTGGGACATAATTTTTTTTTTCTATTTTATTAACCAGTTAGCCTAACATCATTATAAGTAATATTTTTTTCCTTTTTCTTTTCTTTTTATTTTTTTTTAAATCTTTATTGTTCAGATTATTACAGATGTTCCTCTTTTTTCCCCCCATAGCTCCCCTCCACCTGGTTCCTACTCCACTCCAGGCCTTCCCGCCCCCCACTGACCTCATACATTGGTGTAAGCTCTTTGTCCAATCTCTTTCCACACCCCCTACAATCCCTTCCCCCCGAGAATTGTCAGTCTGCTCTCTTTCTGTGCCCCTGATTGTATTACATTCACCAGTCTGTTCTATTCATCGGGTTTTTTATTCATTTGATTTTTAGGTTCACTTGTTGATAGATATGTATTTGTTGTCACTTTGTTGTTTATAATTTTTTCTCTTTCCCTTTTTCTTCTTCTTCCTCTTTCTTAGAGAATACCCTTCAGCATTTCATATAATACTGGTTTGGTGGTGATGAACTCCTTTAGCTTTTTCTTGTTCTTGAAGCTCTTTATCTGACCTTCAATTCTAAATTATAGTTTTGCTGGGTAGAGTAATCTTGGTTGTAGGTTCTTGCTATTCATCACTTTGTATATTTCTTGCCACTCCCTTCTGGCCTGCATAGTTTCTGTTGAGAAATCAGCTGACAGTTGTATGGGTACTCCCTTGTAGGTAACTAACTGTTTTTCTCTTGCTGCTTTTAAGATTCTCTCTTTGTCTTTTGCCCTTGGCATTTTAATTATGATGTGTCTTGGTCTAGTCCTCTTTGGATTCCTTTTGTTTGGGGTTCTCTGTGCTTCCTGGACTTGTAAGTCTATTTCTTTCACCAGGTAGGGGCAGTTTTCTGTCATTATTTCTTCAAATAGGTTTTCAATATCGTGCTGTCTCTCTTCTTCTGGCACCCCCATAATTCGGATGTTGGTACACTTGAAGTTGTCCCAGAGGCTCCTTACACTATCTTCATATTTTTGGATTCTTTTTGCTTTTCCAGTTGGGTGTTTTTTGCTTCTTCATATTTCAAATCTTTTGACTTGACTCTTGGGATCTTCTAGTTTGCTGTTGGATCTCTGTATATTATTCTTTATTTCAGTCAGTGTATGCATAATTTCTGAGGGTCCTTTTTCATATCCTTGAGGGTCTCACTAAATTTCTCAGAAGTTTCTAGAAGATTCTTGAGTAACCTTATAACTGTGATTTTGAACTCTATATTCACTATTTTGCTTTCAACCATTTCTTTCATTTGTGACTTGTTTCTTTGTCTCTGCATTTTGGCTACCTCTCTGTTTTTTTCTATGTACTAGGTAGCTGTTAAGTCTCCATGAGTTGATAGAGTGGCCTTGTGTGGTAGGTGTCCTATAGGGCCCAGTGGTTCAGCCTCCCCAGTCACCTGAGGTGGACACTCTTGGTGCACCCCTTTGTGGGCTGTTTGCACAGTCTTGTTGTAGTTAACCCTTGATTGCTGTTGGTATCACTGGGAGGAACTGACCTCCAGGCCAATTGGCTGTGATGACCAGCTGTGTCTACACTGGAAGATCTGTTGCGCAGGAGACACCCTTATGGGGCAGGACTTGCTTCAGTGGGGGTTTGGTGCTCACTGAGTCTTCTCCTTGAGTGTGTCTCTTATGGATGTGAAGAGTTATAATCTGATATGGTCTCTCTCTGACCACTGGGTACACTGGCTCTTGGATCTCCAAGGAGGTGCAAGGTTAGCCACTGTCTGGGGCTACCCAGCAGGAGCTACAGAGACATCTGCAGATTCCTCCTCTTTGTATGGGTTTGGAAGTGCCCAGACAAGGCCCAGCTGTGAAGCAAGGCAGGCTGTTGCTGCTGGGCCTTGGGCCTTCTTTTGGAAGCTCTGGGGCTCTCTGACCCAGCTGTGCAGTTTGACAGGTTTTAGGCAGAGAGAGGACAGGCCATTCATATGCAAAAGCTGATGCACACAGCTTGGGTGGGGTTGTAAATTGGGTGGGGTGGAGTCTCAGGGAATCACCAGGGCAGAGCAAACAGCAATGGCTGCCAGTCAGTCCTGCTCTGGAGAGATCCCTACATCTCCGCCTCCTGTGCCCCCATGCAGAAATAATGATCGCTGCAGCACCTCTGAGAGAAAGCCTTCCTTGCATTCCAGCCTGATGCCAGACAGTCCAGTTTCTCCCCGTATGTGTCTGGGTCCCCCAGAGTCTCACCTGGAACTGGAGTTCAGAGCAAGCAGGAGCTTGTATCTCCCTCCTGATTAAAAGAGAAGTACATCCAGGTGACAGCACTTCGCGTGCCTCTGCACCTCTTACCAGTCTCAATGCACTTTCTTCACCTCTCTAATTGTGGAACTTCCACTCAGCCAGCTATCCTGCGGTTCTGGGTGGTAGTTGTTCTACCTTTTAGTTGTAATTTTGATGTGTTGTGAGAGGCAACAAGTATAGGTGTTTACCTATGATGCCATCTTGGTTCTCTCAGTAATCTCTTGATAGAAATATTCTTTTGGTTCACAGAAGATGAAATCTAAACAACTATGATAGATTGATGGAAAACCTGGAGAAGCCAAGTAAATAAAGACATCCCCATGCCCAGCCAGTGTGGCTCAGTTGGTTGAGCTTTGTACCATACACTGGAGGTCCCCAGTTCATTCCTGGTCCAGACAGGTGCCGGGTTGCAGGCTCAATCTCCAGTAGGGGGCATGCAGGAGGCAGCCGATCAATGATTATCTCATGGTTGATGTTTCTATCTCCCTCTCCCTCTCCTTTCCTCTCTCTCTAAAAAGAAAAAAAAAATCAATAAAAGAAGCTTTAAAAAAAAAAAAAAAAGACACCTCCTTTTCTCTTCTGTTCTTACATCCTACAAAAGCTAGTAAGGTCAACCCTAGCTGGTTTGGCTCAGTGGATAGAGCATTGGCCTGTGAACTGAAAGGCCCCAGGTTCGATTTCTGGTCGAGGGCACATGCCCGGGTTGTGAGCTCGATCCCCAGTGGAGGACTTGCAGGAGGCAGCCTATCCATGATTCTCTCTCATCATGGATGTTTCTCTCTCTCTCTCCTTCTTCTTTCCTCTCTGAAATCAATAAAAATATATTTAATAAAAAAGCTAGTAAGGTCATGGATAATCAACCAACCTGGGACTTGGGACTTTCGGTGCTATAATTGAGACAGTTGGTCACCCTGTAACCGATAACTGCAATGTGGTTCTAGATTGTAATATATAAGGTAGATCCGATTCTGGAGGTTCAGCTTTTGTTTTGAAAATTTTATTAGGGAAATCAGGCATTTGTAAGATATTGCAATAGTCCGTGATTTGGTTCTTTGATTTCACCATATTTATGTTTTGTTCTTAAATTTACTGGTGATGTGGGTCTTGTATTTGGAGGTATTCTGATGGGTCCACCAACCCACTGGATCTTTGGGTAACAACAGAGACTTCTTATTTTCCTGAAATTAATTATCTTGGGTAAATAGCTCATCCTGATTTGCCCAGTTTTTGAACTAAAAGTCCTGCATCTTTGGAAACCCTTCTGTCTTGGGTAAAAAAGAAGGGTGTTGGATCACTTTGTTTTGGCTAGTTATCTTGACTTTTTGCTTAAAGGATCTTTTTTTCTCCTTACAGGATTTTGATCAATGCAGTGGCATACATATAAGGAAGGTTTATCTGGTGGTGGTATACAGAAGGACTGGAATGGAATGAAGTTATGATCAGAGAAACACATCTGCACAAAGGTAATAAAGGCCCGAACCACTTTAAAAATGGAAAAGAAGGGGGAAGGATCTAGAGAATAACCTCTAGAGTACTGGCTTTTGTCATTATGGGATAATTGCTTTTTTGAAGTTCAGTAGTAACTCCTTGACCACAATTTTAGCAGCCTCTTTTATAATTCTTCTTATTTCACTTCTCTAATTCATTTCACATTGTTAAAAACAAAAAACCCTGCCCTAACTGGTTTGGCTCAGTGGATAGAGCGTCAGCCTGCAGACTCAAGGGTCCCAGGTTTGATTCCGGTCAAGGGCATGTACCTTGTTGCAGGCACCTCCCCAGTAGGGAGTGTGCAGGAGGCAGCTGATCGATGTTTCTCTCTCATAGATGTTTCTAACTCTCCTTCCTGTCTGTAAAAAATCAATAAAATATATTTTTTTAAAAAAAACTCCAAACACACACATATTCTTGACCTAGCAATCTTCAACATCCTTATTACTAATCTTAATTTACTGAGATTTTTTCCCTTTCTGGTCACAGTCCTCTTCTTGCTTCTCTCCCTTGCATGTCCTAAATGTGTGCATCCTAGACAAACTTGGCGCCCACGTGGAATGTCAATCTAGCACACATGACCTTCTGACACCAATGCCCTTTGCCATCATCTTACGGAACCTACTCGAGTCCTGCCTGGGGACCTTGCCATCACCCACAGCGCCAACCCTTACACTATGTCAACTCTTAAACTCCTCTAATCAATCCATTTTCATTCTAGCTTTTTTTATTCTTTGGCTTTTGCCATTACCTTACTAAAATCTCCAGTCCCTTGATCCTCCCATTTCTTCTCAACCTGTCAGCCTCCTGGCTTTAAGACTCTCTCTATGTAGTTCGATGATCTAGATAAGGTAAATGGTTATGGCTTTTCTAAAGATATGGAGAAATGGGTAAATTTAACATTTCTTTCAGTGTCTTAAATTTTTTTTAGGCTTTTGCTAGTCTTAAGGGCATCATTATGAATACCATCACTGTACTGAAGATCTCAGAAGTATTGGTTAATTAATGGAGAGTTTTGGTAGAGAGAGTACCAAATATACTAGCTCGTATAATACTTTCTCTTCCATTACTTATTGAGAGAGAGAGAGTAAAAGAGAGAAGAGAAAGCATTATCCCAGAAGCCTCAATCTTCTAAAGAACTTTTAGAAAATGTCATATGCTGCTGTTGGCAAAGATGGCTTCCTTCCTGAAAAAGAGGGAAAGGAGGGGGATGGTAATCAGAGTGACTTGAAATTAAGCTGAGCATGCAACAGTGAGTGAAAGGCAGTAGAAGGATGTTTGGGGCATGGCTGTTGTCTTAGTTTCCTGTGGCTACTAAAACAAATTACTACCACAAGCTGGGTGGTTTATCCTCTCACTGTTCTGGTGGCCAGAGCCTGAAATCAGTATCACTAGGATAAAATCAAAGTGTCAGCAGGGCCAGTCTTCCTTGGGAGAGGGTTCTATGAGAGAATCTGTTCCTTGCCTTTCCCAGCATCTGATGGCTTCCAATATTCCTGAACTTGTGGCCTTGTGGCTCTAAGCTACAAAGCCAGCATCCTCAAGGCTCTCTGTCCTATCTGTCTTCACATCACATTCTCTCGGTGTCAGATCACCCTTTGCCTGGCTTGCGATTGCATTTGGGACCCACCCAGATCATTCAGGGTAATCTTCCCGTCTTAAGACTGTTTTTCCAAATAAGGCAACATTTTTGGATTCCAGGCATATTTTGGAGTCATTATTCAGCACATTGCAGCTGCCATCGTTGGGCAGGGACGGAAATTCTGTGAAGCAATTAAAAGAAGAGATAAGGAGAATCTCCCAAGGGCACCAACCCTAAATCAGTTTCATTTCCAAGGGAAAAAACCATGATAGCCAGGGTCAATACATTGGATCAGGGAGAAGAAAAGACAACTACACTGAGGGAATCGAAGTATAGATTTGGACTTCCTGTCAGTTAAGAGTTCGAATGTTTTACTTTATTTTATTTCTTTATTTTAAAAATACATATATTTTAATTGATTAAAAGAGAGGAAGAGAGAGGGAGAGAGAAATAGGAACATCAATGATGAGAGAGAGTTATTGATCAGCTGCTGCCTGCACCCCACCAATCGATCCTGCAACCTGGGCATGTGCCCTGACCAGGAATTGAACCGTGACCTCCTGGTTCATAGGTTGATGCTTAACCACTGAGCCACTCTGGCAGGCATAACCTTGTTTTAAGTAGCTTAGCAGGGGCCCGGCCAGTGTGGCTCAGTTGGTTGGGTGTCATCCCATGCACCAGTAGGTTGCTTGTTTGATTCCTGGTTAGGGCACATGCCCAGGTTGTGGGTGCAATCCCCAGTAGGAGGTGTGTAGATGGCAACTGATTGATGTTTCTCTCTCTCTCTTCCTCTCTCTGAAATCAATAAAAACATTTTTTAAGAAAGTGGCTTAGCAAGGGGTCAAGCCACACCTGCCTGTCTCTTCATGTGCTCTTCTCAGGAGTGTGGGAGGGGAAGAAAGCTGATGGGGTGATCATCTTTCTTGGGTGACTGGTGACTAGAGGACCTTATGGAAAGAGTACACCAAAAATAACTGTTCCATGCAGAAATAACTTCTGCAGATTGAGTCTGTCATTGTCATTCTGATTAGATTGGGGGATTATAGGGATGGCGTATTTTTCTCTGAGGCAGTAGAGCACTTTGGAGAGCTTGAGTAGAGGAGTGTGAAATATTGAGTGTGGGTGGGGACAGTTACATCTGCGACCTCTCCCCACCAAAAGCAACCACAGTGGAAGAGCAGGGTCTTCATTCAAAGGTCGTCAGAGATGACTAGGCTGGACTTCCCCAGCCACATACAGAGAAGCCTTGAGTAAGAGCAAGGGTGTCACACTGTGGGTGACACTGAGGCTCTCACCAATGCTCTCTACTGCCCTGGGCATTTCCTCCAGAGAGAGGCCCTGCTCAGAGAGTGAGCAGCTTGGGCTGTGCTTTTGCTGCCCTCAGAGGGGCACAGCTATTTTCTGAGTAAAATGGAGAAAGGTTTGATGACTAAGTAAAACGGAGATGGGTTGTGCTGGACCAGTGATGGCCCTATGGTGGCACCTTCCAACCAAGGAGTAAAGAGCGGGGAGCTGCCCAGCTGGCATGGCGTTGACCTAGGAACCAGGAGGTCACAGTTCTATTCCTGGTAAGGGCACATGCCCATGTTGTGGGGTTGATCCCCAGTGTGGGATGTGTAGGAGGCAGCTGATTGATGATTCTCTCTCATCATTGATGTTTCTATCTCTCCCTCTCCCTTCCTCTCTGAAATCAATAAAAATATGTTTAAAAAAAGGGGGGAGAGGGGAACTGATAGCTCATGGAAGGTTAAGAGGAGGAGAACACACAGACCCAGAGCTTTGAGATGGCTTATCAACTTCATCTGATGTTAGATGCCAGAAAAGGAGGAGGAGAACTTCTGCTTTACCAACCTCTCTCTTCCATTATTAATCCACTTTTGCATCTTTACTTGGATTGTAATGTCAATACTAAGTAATTCCAATGAGAAAATACATGTGATAATACTTGTGCACTTTAAAGCCACAATAATAAGAATAGCATTTATTGATAATTATTGTATATAGACACTAATTAAGCACTTTGCATATACATTCATTTCATTTAATCCTCATAACAATTTTGTGACATAAGTTTTATTATTCCCATTTTACTGATGAGAAAATCAAGGCTTAGGCAAATCGAGTTTAAGGAGCTTGTTCAAGGACATACAGATTAGTAAATGGTAGAGTCAGGATTTGAACCCAGCTCCAGAGTCCAAACTATTAACCACTTTGCTATACTCCCTTGCCAAATAAATACCTTTTAAAGTATTAATTTTCAACCTTATCACATAAGAGTAAATATAGGTAAAACATAGACACCAGCAGAAATCAGATTTGATTAAAAACAATAACCCAGTAGGTAATGGATGAGACCGAATCAATGCAAAGTCATTGTTAGGAAGCAAAATGGTACCCAGACCAAAATCAGGAATGCTGGCCCTCCAAGTCCCTTTCTTCTGGGCAGTCCCAGGGTGTCCTGTCCCATCCCAGGTCTACGTGACATGTCTGGAAACTGTAGTGCCCATCTCCTAATTTGACTGCCTTACTGCAGGGCTCCCAGTGACACTCTTGGGCTGTGGGGCTTAACACTGACCAGTTGAGTTCAGGCCTCCTGTCTTCAGCCACACTGCCCTGCTTGCTGAGGCTGCTTGCCCTGAAGTAGTGGGGAGCACTGCGCAGGCAGAGTTGTAATTACTAGTCTCCCAAATAAGTTAATTCTGCTCTTGGGCTTTCATAGTCTCCCTGTAGTTAATTTTTATTAGGTCCATTTTCTTAAAGAACTTGTGTGGCCTTCCCAATAGCCTGAGTTAGTGAACATTTGAGTGGCACTACTTAGTGTCCACCTAAAGCAGCGGTTCTCAACCTGTGGGTCGCGACCCTTTTGGCGGTCGAACGACCCTTTCACAGGGGTCGCCTCAGACCATCCTGCATATCAGATATTTACATTACAATTCATAACAGTAGCAACATTACAGTTATGAAGTAGCAACGAAAATAATTTTATGGTTGGGTCACAACATGAGCAACTGTATTTAAAGGGCCAGAAGGTTGAGAACCACTGGAAGAGAATCCCTTCAACTACTGTCCGGGGCTGAGCTGGAATATCTGATGCCTTTCTGATCCTGAGTAGAATCTGTCTATCTGGGCCATTCCCTAGAGGTAAGGGGCAGAGTCTCTGCCCCAGACCTTTCACTGCTTCTAACAAGTCCTGCCCCTCACTCCCCAAGGTAGGGAGTCAAGATTTCATCCTCAAGGATTTCATACCATGCACTTGAAATCACTCCAAAGAAATAACTCCCCCTGCACTCCGGCGTTTTGAATCTGTCTGTGAATCTCCTTCCCAGCATAGGAACCCGTTAGAGCAGCAGTCGCCAACCTTTCAGACCTCACGGATCACCAGTGATCCTCGGA